CGCTATGAGAGATGACGGACTGGGCGTCCGGCGGAGCGCGAAGTCAATGAGAATGTAGTCTACGGAGAAGCAAAAGGCGCAGTACCCTCGAGAAGTGCAGCGGCACGTAGACTGAGAAGTGATGATGTCTGTCGCGCTGCCATTGATGTGAGCAGAGGCAGGAGAAAATGCGGAAGAGCTGGAAGCGCACCACCGTGAATTGAAGCTCGGCGCCCACAAATCAACACCGCTCATGGAAGTCTGGCAAAAAGGAGGTCGAAGAGAGCGTCATAGTCTAGTCATACGGCAGCAAGGAGAAGCGTCACTGTCCTTGTTGCGCAGTTGCCGGTATGTTTACAGGCTGGAACACAATGTTGTCTCGGGAAATGCGCCTCTTCTTCTTACAGAGATAAACTCGACCGGTCTTTTCTCTCTTTTCCAATTCTCGAGGTCATCTACTGTAGATGAGCAGTGGGATCGAGACAATAATAATGGTGACAACAAAGAAAGTACTCTTTTTTCCGTTCTTCTCGATTTGTGTCGCCGTCCTCTAGCACTGACGTGGGTAAACAGGATGGTCGCGCGGCGATCTGGTGTGAATCAGCGATTGGTGGTGGCAATGGTACAAATCAATGACGGAGGAGGCAAAATCGATCAGATCTTTCTTCTTCCCTATCGTCGTTTCGGCTGAAGAGAAGTTGATTCGAACTTTGGAAGGGATTTCTCCGACATGCGACGTCTTTTTCCGGACGGTTGTTTTCTTAGATTCTCTCTGTTGGTCCCTCAAAGTAGATGTGATGATTCTTTCTTTTCTTTTTCAAAGTGTTGTCATCGCTTGGAGTTGGTGGGTGAAAGGTGATTACTTTCCAAGATCCACCAACCGTCCTTCCATCACCATATCTGAATTTTTGCGTCTGTTTTTTTTTCCACATCTTTTGGACGTCGGAGCTGGGGATTTCAAGGAGAAAAGGTTGACCCCTTTGTCTTTTGGGTCTCGCATCCTTCGGAAATCAAGCAACGAATGTGGAATCAGGCCCCACAGTGGGCGCCAATTGTTTGTACCATCTAGTTCAAAGGTATGAATAATAATCATTTGTTGGTGTGGGCTTGACTCACGATCCGTTCGTTCGATCTCCGAGGATGAAAAGAGTCGGGAATGCCCCCCGAATTGAGCTCTGACAATCAAGTCAGTTCATGTTTAAGGTGAGAATTGAGAGTATAAGGTGTAGAGAGATAGTCTAAAGTGAAAAGTGAGGAGAGAGAGAGAAGAAGGCCTCTTCTAGGTTAGTTAAGGGCAAACCTCCTATTTCGTGTTAGCACTTAGGGTTTGGTTGTGGGTGGCTGTCGAACTCCAATTCGAGGGTGAAATCTAACCATTCCTTAGTCGATAGATTGTGAGAGTCGCATTAGCGGCTTGGATCATATCTCATTTCCTCAACCTAGAGACTAAGAGGGTAGCCTTGGTTACTTGTTAAACTTCCCTGCGGTTTATGATCCCCTTCCACACCCGTTCGTTCGATTCTTCAAATCGTAATTGTTAACTAAGGGGAACAACACTCGGGTGAAGCCTTCTCAATTAGTGTCAAATCCATTTTACTTTTGCAAAGTACTTTAGGGCTCGTTTGTTTGTTGGATTTGTAAATGAAGGTTTTGAGTTTTGAAAACCTTTGGATTTTTATGGATTTGTTGTATTTTGTATTTGAAAGATAACATTGTTTGTTTAGTTCATTTTGATCATGGATTTAAAGGTTTTTGCACCATGGCACACAAAACCTTGCCTTCCATGGCCAAATACCAAACGAAATGTGGTATTTGCAAATACGTGTGGTCCACAGATTTGGAGTTAAAAAGGACCAAATCCGTGGACCCATGGATTTGTATACCTCAACAAACAATGTTATTTTGGCAAATACATAATGATTGGGATTTGGGTGCCAAATACATCATCCAAATCCCACAAGCAAACGATACCTTAGTTTTAGACCTTTGTTTTCACAAAACTAATCCGGTAGATAATGTTTCAAACAGTCGACGTAGCGGTACATGGATCGGCCCGGGTTGATATTTAAACATACTTGCCCTATCTTGCACCCATCTAAAGTTTATATTTGGTCCTTAGGTGAGATTTTATTGTGATAGTCAGAGCGAGTCAAGTTTTTGGCACCGTTGTCGGGGAACTTCGGTCCGTTATCGTGAAAAGTTTGTTTGGTGTTAATCTAGTTTTTAAATTTATGTTTTTGTTAAGTAGTGAAGTATATGCTTGTGCTAGACGTGTTGTGCTCTTTAAGTGTGTGCAGGGATGTGCATGACCCGGAACAATCCCACGCCTTTAACACCACTGGACGAGCACATCAACCGAACTCTCCGACTTCTAAATTTAAAGTGCTAATACCACTACAACACCCGAACTATACGAAAAATGCCACTTGTGTCCTATTGTTTCAAATATTCCATTCATGTCCTAAACTATTTTTATGTTAAAGTTGATCGTTTTGACCGTTAGTTTTTAACAGAAAGTCCAGTCATCATTGATGTGACACATGACGTGGGATTTTAATTTATTTAATAAAAAATTTAAAAAAACAATGAAAAAAAAAGTTTCATCTCCACCATTCACCCCCTCGATCCTTTCTCCCCAGTTCACCCTTCCTGTTCACCACCATTCACAATGATCCACCGGCGCCACGGTTGTGGAAACAGAACCGGCGAGCTTGACGTCGCTCTTCCTCCGTCGCAGAGCACATGACCCAGATCCGCTAGATTGGCGAACATACTGGCTCTCTACACCGCCGCAAGAGAGGAGAATGTCGGCGAACAGATGGGCTCTCTACACCGGGATCTTGAGGGATCGAGCGATTCAAGGATTGACCACTGTTGAATCTTGATGATTCTGCCCCTCCGATTCCTCCTGTTATCTGTGCATCAATCGATCTGTTTCTCTTTTTCTCTATGTGCCCAGAAATTCTAGGGGATTCTTCTTGATTCTTTTCATTATCAATCTTCGTTCTCGATGGTGGCCTTGTAGGCGATTTGCTGAGAATAATGGGAAGCAAATCGACTTCAGATTTGGAGGCGGCGGGCAAAGAACATAGTCCATCTAACGAAGAAATCGGAGATTGTCACTGGAGCACGACAACGACATAATCAGATCTGCCATTGAAGTGGAGCTGGGAGACCCTGAATCTCGCCATTGATGAGAACTGGGAAATCAGAATCGTCTTCATTGCCGAGTCGGATTGGGGGAAGAAGGAGATGATGCGGCGGCTTCATTGCTTGGAAAATGGAAATGGAAATCGTCTTCATTGCCGGGTCGGATTGGAGGAAGAAGGAGATGATGCGGCGATTTCATTGCTTGGAAATCGGAATCGTCTTGGAGATTTTTTAGAGAAAGAGAGGGCAAATCGGTAGAGAAGAAGAATAATGGGATTTTTAATTATTTTGTTTTAAAATTTTGGCTTAATAATATAATTGAATTTACAAATATTTTTAATTTTAACTCAATTTTTTATTTAATTTGAATTAAAAAAATAGGAGATCAGTGACATCGCATCTATGTGGCACCCACCTTTTTTGCCGCATCAACAAAACTCAACTTCGCGTTGACCATCGTTTGGTCAACCGTTATCTTTAACGGTCAATGAAATTGACAGGATACAAATGACACAAGTGGCATTTTCCGGATAGTTCAGGTGTTGTAGTGGTATTAGCCCAAATTTAAAACATAATAATAAAACTACTTTCTATAAGCCGTACCAAGCCAAAGGCTCTTTGTTTAACCCGAGTCGTCTTGATGGCTTGAGGTAGGGTCAGTAACCAAGTGGTTACTGACATGTCAGTAATAAATAGGGACCGTAGATCTAGGAGGTAGACAATCATGCGGTTAGCCTGAATGTTGGGTTGGGGAGGGTATTTTTGTCCGTTTATACATTAAATTTTTTATTTTATTTTATTTCATATTTAATGGCTGCATTTTCAAAAACGGAAAGAGAAATTTATTTTACTCTCTTCTTTCTCTCTACCTTTTTATCTCTCAAACTTTTTTTCCAGATCCTTTCTCTTTCTCTCTTACTTTTTCTCTCTCAATCTCTTTTCTAGATCTAAATCTTCCCCCTTCTCTTCTTCTTCATTTTTTTCTCCTGGATGAATAAAAATTGCAGCCACTCTCTTTCATTGCATTTATTCTCTTCATCAACTCGTTGGTCTCAATTTCGATCTTTCTCATTTTTTCGGCATTTTGGTATTTTTTTTATTGCGGAAGAGGAAATGAGAGGCGACAGAAGACGATTTTTCTCTCTCCCTCCTTCTGTTTTTTTCCTTTTAGATAATATATATTGATATTATGACTCTATACCATGGTATAGTGTGGTAATATCAATATATATTTCGTTACCACACAATACCATATGATATTGTGTGATATTAACACATTATACCATATGGTATTGTGTGGTAACGAAATATATATTGATATTACCACACTATACCATATGGTATTGGGTGGTAATACCAAATATATATTGATATTACCACACTATACCATATGATATTGGGTGGTAACGAAACATATATTGATGTGACAATTTGTTTCATACCATATGGTATGGTCTTATTTAATACCAGTCAATACCATATGGTATTGACTGGTAATAACTGACAATTTTTTTTATGTCTAAAAAATATCAAAGTGGATATAATTTTGAAGAGCACAATTAATCTGATCTAACTGTGCAAAAAAAATTAAATTCCAACTTAAAACGAGTGAGAAATCGTTCGGGAAAGAAAATTAAAGGTTTTCGAGCAGAGAGAATGAAGCGCTGATTTGGTCCGGTCAAAAATTAGCGTCAACACAAATTTACTTTACTGTCATTTTGCACTTAATTTAAATAAAAAAGAAAACTGACACGTGAAGACAGGAGAAGGGGTTTATGTCTTACTGATGAGTTACTAATCTGTCCGTCTCGATTCATCTGCACGGAGTCGCTTGGGCGTTGTTCTGGCCCCAAGGCCCAATCTATAACGCCCCCCTTTCCTTTAGACCGTGTTGTCCTCTCTTTTATCTCATTTAGGGTTTCTTTTCTTTCTACGAGCTCAGATATGGCCGACGAATCCCACTACTCCGCCGCAGACACCGCAACGGCCACCGTCACTCCTAACAAGCGCAAGTACGATGACCAAACGGCCACTGCTCGTCGCCACACGGGTTTTTCTTCGCCGGATTCTTCAGCTCCTATTCCTCCTTACAATAATGTCCCGCCGCCTGCCGATGAGATCCAGATGGCCAAGCAGAAAGCTCAAGAAATTGCTGCGCGTTTCCTGAGTGCCGCCGCTGGAGGCGCTCCTGTTGATAATAAGCGTCCTAGGGTTGAGAATGGGGGCATCGGTTTTGATTCCAATGATAAGGGCTTTAACTCTGGTACGAATGGTCGACTCCCTGGTTTTGATAGCTATCTTGAATCGTTGTTATTGCGTCGTGTTGCGGAGTTTAGAAACTATAATAACTGTTCCTTGATGTCAAATTAGCTACGTCGGGCGTTCCTGTTTCCTATGGTTCTTTTATGGGCGGTACAAGCAAGAGAATCGAAATACCAAATGGAAGGGTTGGTGTTATCATTGGCAAAAGTGGGGAGACTATCAAATATCTTCAAGCTAAATCTGGGGCGAAGATCCAGGTAACGCGAGATCTGGAAGCTGACCCCAATTCGCAAACCAGAGCTGTAGAGCTCATGGGTACTCCTGAACAAATTGAAACTGCAGAACGGTTGATTAATGACGTTCTTGCCGAGGTAAGCTCTTCTTGATACGAGTTGTGGGTTTCACTTTAAATTAGTTTTCGGCAAATGGATTAGAAGTTTTGAAATGCTTAGCAATCGGCTTCCGTCGTCTGATTCCCGTGTTAATTTTACACTGCTATTGATGCTCAAAACTGCTGACAATGACAAGAGAATTGGTTTGTTACTAGCTAAGAATTAAGATTTTGGATATTTTACACAGGCTGATGCTGGAGGTTCTGGTACAGTTTCTCGAAGGCAAGGAGGACAGGCTGGTGGCGATCATTTTGTCATGAAAGTCCCAAACAACAAGGTACGTGGGCTTAGTTACTGCTGTATGCTCCATTAGCTGCTTTGGTGCAGATTGGTTGCAATGTGCACATGATTTCAGGTTGGTCTGGTAATTGGCAAAGGAGGTGAGACAATTAAGAGCATGCAAGCGAGGACTGGTGCTCGCATTCAGGTACATCTTAGAATTTAGCTACTTCCTTGTGCTTTCTTTTGATTACATTGACAACTGATTGGTATTCTACATTGAGCTTCGTTTGGCTTTATGCAAGTCCAATTGAATAAGTGACCTTTTATTCTTGCAGGTGATACCTCTGCATCTCCCCCCTGGGGATACCACATCAGATAGGAATGTACATATAGATGGGACAAGTGAACAGGTTGAGGCTGCAAAGCAGTTGGTCAATGAAGTCATTAGTGAGGTATGTGTTGCTGTTTGCCTAGTCATTGAAGGAGTACTCCCATTTATTCTTTTGACTGTTCATTGTTTGCCATATCAATATGGTATCTTCATTGTTAATTTACTTGCACTCTTCACAACTTCCTTTTACAATTTACAATGTTCTTCAAGATGTACTTTATAAATATAATAGCAGATATTGTGGGGTTTCTCTATTTTTCAGTTAAAGTACAATGTGTTATGCATCCTTCTAACTTGTCCGGGTTAGTATTATTGAAAATTGTATGCATTGATTGTTCCTTTTGTATTTCATTATTTCTACTCACAGCTTGTCACCTAAGTATCTGTTTGTACCTTAACATTTCATACCCACTGTATGTATAGTTGGTTTTATAATTAGCCAACTTAATGATTATCGATTCCTCTTCTAGCTGCTTACATTTTGTGCTCAGTATCTCAAGACAATAACCATAAATTGCTGTTTATTTTGAAAATGGATTATAATTTCAGTTGTTGCAAATGATTTAACTTTTCAAGATTCAGAAAGTTGCTGATTGAGCTTGATATATAGCTTTTGTCAATGTCTGCTGGAAATGAGTGAAAGAATGATATTTAGCTTTTAGCTTCCAAATCATTGGTGCTTATGTATGAATAGACTCTAGTATTACGGTTTTACATTGTGAAATATGAATAAGAGGATGAGTAATTTTGCTGCTTGATATTCCAGCACAGTCCAAACACCAGTTTATGGGAATAATGTACTTCATTTGTTTTTTTACTTGCAAACTGCTGAATCTCCTCAATGATCTGTCCAGTAAATAACTTACAGATCTCTAAATGTACTCTGAAGAAATAATCAAGTGAGTTTTTGCATGTCAAACTTGCAGTGATTATGATATTGATATGGTTGGCTTCAAGCTGCCAATACAATACTTCAAATTGGCTTTCGAGCATCTGATGTGATGCATTTTGTTTGTGATACTTTGGTACTGGAGGCTTTAAGGGTTCAGTTTATCTCATTGGTTGTGCCCAAGTGAATAGTTTTGGTTTGTAGTTTTCTTCTGCTTCCTTATTTGCTTTGCCAAGTGTCATATCACTGCTACTGGTGGGAACTGCTGTTTGATTAATATTAAACCAAGATGAAATTCTGTCTGTTGGGTTTCCAGCTAACCTACCCTGGAATGGTTCTCAACCCCATCACTAACATCTAGCATCTGAAGAGCTCATTTATGTAATTTTGAGATCTGCTCCTAGGTTGGGTAATTTTTTGTGTCGGACTATGCATTTGAGCTCTTCTGTTATTAGTTGTCCCTCTGTTCTGTTATGTTACTAATAACTTGTTCAATACTGGCTAATATATCCTGTAAAATTCATCCCATAGTCTCCATGACTGGTTACCTCGTTTGTTATTCTGGTTTGCTGGGCTCTTAGTGGTTGCTACTAAGTTTCCTACTGGTTAGTTTAGATTTTGATTACCTTTCTCTCTGGTATTTGCCTAGCCCTAGCTTCCTCTAATTCTCCTTAGTTGTGAATTCTTGCTTGCTTCACCTTCTGTTAGCCCCCAGTTTCGTTATTATAATTGATTTCCTAGCATGTGAATGTAAATGTTGTCATTTTTTTATTGATCGTTGGCTTACTCTGCTTGTTGTCATGTTCAGTTTGATATGATGTCTGTTATTAGATGAACTTGTCTGTAGGTTCCTTGTTCTGTTCTTGGATTGTTGTCGTTCATTTCCGAAGATTTTTTTTTGTCTATATGTATACTACCAGACTTCATGTTGAAGTCTTCTTTCTGCTTGTAAATGGTCTTTGAGAACACAATAAGTTGTACTGGGTTTGCCAAGTTTGGAGCTAGTAACTGTGAATATACACTCTTTTTGTACTTCTATATGGGAGTAAATATAATGTGCCATAGTCCCATAGCCGGAGTGAATTCTCTTTTTTGTTATCATATCAATATGAACAGGGGGTCATTGCCACAACAACCACTTTAATATTTTCAGTGGGAAAGTTTGTATATTTGTACTTGTTTTTTGCACCAATTCATTTTTAAAGTAGGGAGAGGGTGAGCTTCTGCTGGAGTAACTTCCACCAACGAAGTACGGTATGTAGGCAATCCTACCCCCTTCCTAATGGAATATGAGATTCATCCCCTGTGCTAGGACAGTTGCCTGTTTATTATGCTGTTTTATAGAGATTTTTGAATGTTGCTCTTGGTTTCTGCTTCTAGTTTGTTTATATAGCAATCTTGCATCTGTTTCGTATTTAGCCTGTATGCAGTAATATTGAGAAATTCTTGTCATTTATCTTGTATTATGATTTTCCTGTAGAATCGCATGAAGAATTCATCAATGGGTGGAGCATATTCTCAGCAAGGATATCAAACACGACCAGCTGCGAACTGGGGCCCTCCTGGTGGTGCAGTGCAGCAACCAGGTTATGGTGGTTACGGGCAATCCGGACCATATGCAGGGAATATGCCCCAGCCACCATATGGGGGATATCCTACCCAGCCATCATCTGCTGGATACCCTGCTGGATGGGACCAGTCTACTCAGCAGGCTAGTCAGGGTTATGATTACTATGGTCAGCCACCGTCTTCACAGCAACCACCAATTTCTGGTGGTCCACCACCACCAGCAGCTGCTGCAGCGGCATATAATTCTGGTGGCTATGGTTACAACAGTCAGCAACCACATTCGGGCTATAATCATCAAGGGCACAGTTATGCACAAGATGGGTATGGCGGATATCCTCATACAGGTTACAGCCAGCCACAAGCTTATGATCAGCAGCAGCAGGGGGGTTATACTACTGCTCCCAGCTATGGTCAAGAAGGCCACAGTTCTGCCTATGGTGGACAAGGAGAGTCAGCTCCTCAACCATCTTCTGCAGGTCAACAGCAAGGCTATGGTTCTGTCCCAAATCCAGCAAGTTACCACCCTCCACAAGGTACTGTCCAATCAGGAGGATATGGGATGCCACAACCATCTGGCTACGGGAGTCATCAAGCAGCTCAACCTGGATACGGATCTAGTTATGGACCTCCTTCAGCACAAAAGACTCCGGCAGTGAACACATCATCTGATTATGGGCAAGCCGCCCAACAACAACAATCACCTTCTGGAGGAGGCTCATACAACCAGTCAGTTTCTCAGCCAGGAGGATATCCACATTCACAGCCGCCACTGCCGCTGCAGCCACAATCGTCAGGTTATGGCAGTGCCATTGCTGCTCAGCCAGGATATGGTCAACCATATGGTACACGTCCAGCGCCGAGTCAACCAGGGTATGGTCCTCCTTATGGTGCCTCTTACAGTAGTCAACAGCCAGGAGGGTACCATGCTGATGGCAATCCTAGCTTCAATGCAGCAGGAGCTGCAAGTACAGCGGCAGTACCAGTGCCGCCGCCTGGACCACCTTCGCAGCCTATGCAGCAAGGTGGAGTTGCCAAAGTATCTCCAAAGAGCTGATGATACTGACCGCAACTGTTGCGGACTTGATATAATCAACTACCCTCTGCTCTGCTCTGCCTGGGTAGGTGGTGGGTGGTGGTTGCTTTCCTTGCTAAATGCAATGGGTAGTTTACTAGTGAGGTTTTTGTAGCGTGTTATATACTCCTATGTCAGGCTTTCCTTTTATCTTTCAGTACTTATTTTGTAGTAAGATTGTTGGATGCTTTGAAATTTCGATTTGGCTTGTGAGATAGTATTGCTCCCATCTGTTCAACTTTTTTTCGTGCTCTAACATAACATCTTATCTGGCCTTATCAAGTAATGCATGGATGAATAATTTTTTGGGTTAATATTTTCGTATGGCCTGAACTTTGACCAAAATAAACATTCTGGCCAATCTTTTCTATCTATAACATCCTGGCCCGAACTATACACCAAAATAAACAATTTGGCAAAACCCGATGTTTGACCGTTAATTTGGACGGTCAAACGCGTTGACTAACGGTCAACCCGCCACGTCACTGCCAAGTCAGAAGATCTGATAAATATTTAATTTTTTCGTTTTTTATTTTTGGTTTAACTAAGATATTAAATGATTTTTTTAATTTATAATAATTTAAAATTAGGGAATGTGTGGAAATTGTGAATTATTTTAAATATTTTATGCTGACTTGGCAGTGACATGGCGTGTTGACTAACGGTCAACGCGTTTGACCGTCCAAGTTAACGGTCAAAAGTCGGATTTGGCCAAATTGTTTATTTTGGTGTATAGTTCGGGCCAGGATGTTATAGATCGAAAAGATTGGCCATGATGTTTATTTTGGTCAAAGTTCAACTGGTGCAATTGCATTTGTAATTTAATTTTTAATTTTTTTTACACAACACTATTTTTGCAAGCCAACTCATTTGACTTTCATTGTACCTACATTGGTGCAATTCACTTGCAATTGCATATGAAGCCTAACTTTTTTTTGTCATGCATAAAAAAAACATTTTTAAATACCTTTTTATCCACGTGGCAAGTAAATAAAATAAAATAAAATTTAATTTAATTTAAAAAAAATATATACAATTAATGCATAAATTTTTTATTACTAATTTATGTAGAAATTTTTTGTCTTGATAATGGAATATAAAGAATCTACTACTCAATAATTTTTTTTATTACTAGCAAAATATTCAAATAGGACACAAAAATAAATTCAAACCTTATATCTAAAATTTTAAATGAAATTGGATTTATCAACGAAGACTGTAGCACAAAGGAGATTATATGAAAGGAAAATTAACCAACTACTAGAAGACAAGTGATATATATTCATTATTTTGATATTTGTTTTGTTTGGATATAGCATTTCTTATTATATTTTGTAGTTTAATTTTTATGCATTTTAAATTTGGAGTGTACTATGACAATGAACATTAAATAAAATAATAAGTTAATATTTTCAAAAAAGCAATATAATAACTTCGTTATTTGTATATATGAAATTAAAGTTATAAAAAATAACTTTTTCTATTTATAATATTATGTATATTTTATTATAGTTAATAAAATTATTATACGATGCTATTTACTCCCATTGGTATAGTAATAAACTAATTTACACACATTGTTCACAAAAATTATCCAAAAATTTTCAATAAAAATTAGGACTATGCCAAACAAAGTCACACGTTGGCAGTGTGAACTAAAAGAGATAAAAAAAATGTTATGCATTTCCAGCGTGGCTTGCAATGGGGAATTGCAACAAATGAAAGATACCATTTTTGCAATAACAACTTCCAACGGTGCAATGGAAAAAAGCAATTGCATCTCTCTGCCACATCAAAGTGCAATTGCAATGTGCAATCCCGTTGGAGATGCTCTGAGATAGTATTGCTCCCATCTGTTCAACATTTTTGCGTGCTCTAACATAACAGCTTATCTGGCCTTATCAAGTAATGCATGGATGAATAATTTTTTGGGTTAATATTTTCGTATGGCCTGAACTTTGACCAAAATAAACATCCTGGTCAATCTTTTCTATCTATAACATCCTGGCCCGAACTATACACCAAAATAAACAATTTGGCAAAACCCGATGTTTGACCGTTAATTTGGACGGTCATACGCGTTGACTAACGGTCAACCCGCCACGTCACTGCCAAGTCAGAAGATCTGATAAATATTTAATTTTTTCATTTTTTATTTTTAGTTTAACTAAGATATTAAATGATTTTTTTAATTTATAATAATTTAAATTTAGGGAATGTGTGGAAATTGTGAATTATTTTAAATATTTTATGCTGACTTGGCAGTGACATGGCGTGTTGACTAACGGTCAACGCGTTTGACCGTCCAAGTTAACGGTCAAAAGTCGGATTTGGCCAAATTGTTTATTTTGGTGTATAGTTCGGGCCAGGATGTTATAGATCGAAAAGATTGGCCATGATGTTTATTTTGGTCAAAGATCAGGCCATACAAAAATATTAACCCTAATTTTTTAAAGTAGAATGAAATTTTTTTTGGGTATCTTTATCTTTAAAAATATTAAAGCAGATTGAAAAAATGACCCCCTCCACGTCAGCCACCAAGCCCTCTCCGCAATTTTCGGGTTTTTTTAGTTGTTTTATTTACTTTTCATTTTTCTCTCCTCTACAACGGTTTCATTCTACTCTTCCGTTAACTTCTTACTTAACCCTTATTTTCTCTCTCTTTTATAACCGCCCCAATATCCTTTGCAGGTCTTTTATTTGGCTTTTATTGTGGAAAGATATCACATATAGGAGAGGGTCTGAGGCATTAAGGAATAATTTATTAATATTTATAAAAATTAGTTATCATCTAATTATCACTAATAATGTTTTTACCCATCCAAATAAAAATATTTGTTTTTAACCATTATAATTTGCCAACTCATCCACGCCACCCTCTTAATTTGATGGATAAGTTTCAGTAAAACTACAATTATGGCGGTATCCGATTCTCCCCCTTCCTGTTTTTAACATTTTCGAAACATGATAACTATCTTTCTCGACAACTTTCTAAAATTTTTATTTCCAAACTTTTGTATTATGAAGAGCCCAAATTATGATTATATCTTTTGACATTGGATCTAAGTAAGTATTAAACTTCAATAAAATACAATTTTTGGTTTTTCCTCATAAATTATGATTTATTGCTTTGTCAATAAACCATATATAATTTATGATTGTGAAATGCATACTCCTGATACTCATTCAGAAATCAGAATTCACTTATTTGTTTATAATAATCAAATAAAATAATGATATATTTAAATGCAAACTCAAAACTAAACTTATCACTCTTATCAAAACAAAAACAAAAATTTAAATGCAAACTCAACAAAGGTTGATTTTTTTTAACTAGCCTCCCCAAAGGGCAGGGTCCAAGCTAGTAATGAATAAATTCGCTTTAGTTCGGTTGTATGGTCGTTTCTTTTACAAAAGATGTTAAGTGTTAACAATAAATAACAAACAACTAGTGAGGCCCTCATGCTACCATTTCCACCAGACCATATTTAATGTCATGGAGTAGAGGTGGCAATTATAATTCAATCTATTAATCCAATTTGTTTTGAATATTCAATTAATTCAATACATTTGATGCAATTCACTTAAATATTCTGCTAATCCAATCTATTTAAATTTAATCCATTTGATACAATCCTATTAGATTGGTGGATTCATGGATTGTTGGTAAATTATAGTTTAGTACTTATATTTTTAGTATCTTACAATTTGTTACCAAAAATTTATTTTTTATACGAAAATGTCATTAAAAAATTATAGTTTGGTACCTTATTTTTGTATAACATTTCAGTATCTTCACTTTTTAAAATTTACATATTGGTCCATGATTTGAATGTCATTTGGATTCATGGATCAATCCACCAATCCATGAATCTACTAATCCATCAATTTGATACATGAATCTACTAATCCAATTCACCAATACATGAATCCAAACTATTTCTCACCTCTATCATCAAGTCAATGATATGCCTTTTGATCCTTGTTTAACCTTTGGCTTGAGACGCATAAAATTCTCCTAGTGGTCAATTCCACCCTTGGACATCCAAATAACAATAGAGTTCAAATTAAGTACGTAATTAGTATTGCAATTGCAAAACACTTCTCTTGTTCTTTTTTGAAAACTCTTTTGTGAGATTGAGTTGCCTCAAGTTTGTAAAACGATTTGTAAGGTAAAGGTTGCATAAACATAAAACAAAAGCATAAATGGAAGGAAAAGCAGCGGAGATGCCTTGTGTAGGTAAAGCTCTCTCTAGAGTTTCCAGACGTGTATTAGAATGACATATGTTATAAACGCGTTGCTACGGATCGGGAAATAGCAGGAATCGACAAAGCAAGAATATGAAAGCGAGAATCGAAAACACGACACACGATTTACGTGGTTCACTAACACGATGTGTGTTAGCTACGTCCACGGGCGAGAGAGAGCCAGTTTCACTATATCAAGGAGATTACAGATTACAGAGGAGACCCCCGATTACCAGTCGTAGCGGCTGATAATCCGATTCAAGTCATATCAACAAATCTCCACCTTGACTTGAATCCTCTTCCTCTGAAATCTCTGATGTACTCTGCTCCATCTACCTCTCTCCCGCCATCAATGCCCCGCAGGGCGGAGTCACCCACTCAAGACATTCAGCAAGTCCAAGCAGTGTTGGAACTTGCCATGTGAAACCGGCTTCGTGAACATATCAGCAGGATTATCCGCGGTGCCAACCTTCTTCACCTTAATCCTCTTCTCTGTCCTCAAGAAATGATACCTCACATCGATGTGCTTAGTCCTCTCATGGTGGACTTGATCCTTGGCCAAGCATATTGCACTCAAACTGTCGCAATACACCACTGCCTGATCATGATGTAGACCAAGATCACCAACCAGTCCCTTCAGCCATATTCCCTCCTTAGCAGCTTCTGTCAATGCCATATACTCTGCCTCAGTAGTAGACAATGTCACCGCCGACTGCAAAGTTGCCTTCCAGCTCACTACAGAACTCCCAAGGGTGAATACATAACCGGTCATTGATCTCCTCGTGTCAACATCTCCAGCATAGTCCGAGTCAGAATACCCAGACACCAAGCACTCTGTATCACTTCCGAAGCTAATCCCCACATCAGGTGCCTTAAGGTACCGAAAGATCCTCTTCACAGCCTGCCAATGCTCCTTCCCAGGTTGTATCATAAACCTGCTGACAACACTAACAGCATGTGCAAGATCAGGTCTAGTGCATACCATAGCGTACATCAAGCTACCTATTGCACTAGCATATGGGACTCTCGACATGTACTCCTTCTCAGCCTCCGATTGTGGTGCATAAG